TTAAAAAAAGTCTATCATTGCAAGAGGTTTCTAAGTCATCTATGACAATGTCAGAAAATAAACTAGAGATAGATGAACCCATAGAGGTACCATATATCTACTTATATAATATTTATTATCAAATTTAAAGTAAATATTGCCAAAAAGACATTGTCAAGGCATAAGTAGATCATCCAAAGAAATATTTAAACATTATAATATAGTTGTATAACGTCTGATAAGTAAATCACGAACATTATCAGAGCCAACAGTTGTAAAAAGAGAGACAGCATCTAAACTAATCAAAATATGATCATCAGGAATAGAAAAATATTTAATTTTGTTTATAAAATCATAACTATTGCTTATATATGATTTTGGTTTTTTATAGAATTATTAAGAAGGGGAAATAATTGTTTGGATAAAAAATGAGTTGGTGAGTTAATAGTAGAAACAACAGGTCTTAAAGGATTGTTATTCTTATGAATCTTGGGTAAACCATACATTTTTGAGAGATTCGTATTAATTTACGTGAGTTCAATGTCACCAAATTTTCTGTCAAGCAGATCATTATTATTCAGATATTTAAAAATTTTATAAGTTTTAATTTTTAAATTTGGTAACAGATATCTATTAATGCCTTTGTAGAGTCTTTTTACAAGAAAGTAATAATTCAAGTTTTTGTCTATATTCGATCTTATCCAATGCGACCGTAATTGTTGATTGTTTAGACTTCCATGTTGGTTGGGTGAATTTTTGGGAATTAAGGCGGAAAGACCTTTGCAAAGTTAAATGACGGATATTATGGACGATAGTTTGTTCTTTGGTGAATATTTTCGGATTTAAAAATATGAACAACTTTGGTCGGGAAAATGTTCAGATTTGTTGATTTGTTTTAGGAAAATAAAAAACAGGAATATGATTTCTTTTTGAAGGGTTTGTTAAATACATATTCAAGTGTAGAAATTTTTTTTTAATTTTATAACAAAATTTCATAGATAAAATCAATTAATTTTTTAATGACCAAAATGTCCGGAATTCTATATTTGCTATTAAAATTTCAAGAAACAACAGTTGCGTAATGTTTTAATAATAATATAGACGAAAATGTCCAAATTACAATACAATAGACCATTTAAATTATAGTGTTACGTTAAGCAAATTTAACTCTAAACAGTATCAACCGCTATTCTTCTCTCTCTCTCTCTCTCTCTCATGGTTAGCACCTGGTGCGTTAATGTCTTTCTGACGCAACAACTTTTAGCATGTATAACTTCCTCAATATTTTAAATAATATACAACGATCATACATTAAAATATATTCTCATAATTTCCAACTTCAATATGGAGCATAAAAAAAGTTTCGAATTTATGAAAATTGAACTTTCCACAAACTGCATACTCTTATTGAATAATTGTTCACTATAAAGAATCAGCATAAATATAGTTTTATGAATGGAAATTTTCAAAGTCACTCTAGACAAGAATAACCTTGCTCGAATGTGAAATTGTGTATAAATTCTTGCACTGATCCCAGTAGAAACATGAAAATATATACACATTGGGGAAATACGAATTTATGAGGTTTCTCGCTACTCGTAAACTTGCTTTCTCCATAATTCGAGGGCAGTACTATCCGGAAAGCTTTCCACCTTCTGTAAACGATTTGCATGAAATTTGAATCACTGAGGACTCGTGAGCCATTGCTATGCAGTTCGTAAGGTTTTCTCCTGTTAGAAGAGGGAAAATTCAAGTGAACGAGCGAAAGAGAGAGAGAAAGAGATGAGGTGGGGGGAGGGGAGGGGGGCCTTTTGAATGCATAAACGATGCGTACAGCTAATAAAACTCGGAGGTGCGAAAATTGATGCACCCCATAATCTCCTGTCGTTGTGCCACTATATAGCGCAAGGAATAATCTTGTTAGTGAGAATCACCAACTTCCCTCCGGAAATTTAACCGGAAGTGGATTCAGCTCAGGGATTATTCCCGTTTAGGGATTACCTGCCACTTTTCACTCCTAAACACTAAACAAACTATTTGAATTTCTACTAAAATTTCGTAAAACTTTATTTCATTTGCAATAGACAAATAAAATAATTTTATTCTCTTCTCTTTATTTCAAGAATATAATATAAGAATATTTTAATTTCATTAGAAAATTTATTTTAAATAACATTTACATATCATACAATTTTAATTAATTGGAAAAGAATAATATCAAAAATTTAATAATTGAAAAGAAATATTTACTTTTTTACGATTATAAATGAAAACGTTGTTTGATTAAGAAAAAAAATATGACTGCTCTGGTGATAAAACACGAAATCTCTGTGGAAATTAAAGGGAATGTACTTTTATTGAATTTATCTGGAAAATTTTCTAATAGCTATCAGTTTTCATTACTTTGGGAATTAATTTCTATTATTTATATTAGAATTATTGATGGGGAGAAAGAGAGATGAGTATAACCTTTTTCCATCTGCTACAAAAATAAATATTTATTCTTTAATTTTTCATTGTGAAATATAAAATTTAAAATTGTTTCATTTCCGTCATAAGTTTCATATTTATTTTCTTTAAAGTATATTATTCTTTGCGAAAAATAAAAAAGTTTCCAAGTAAATTACTTCCTTTGAAATAACATGTTTTGCCAATCAAGTATGTTTTCTCTAATCAATGTTTTGTAGAGTAAGAATAAAATATTTTTGATTTATGTAATAATAATTACTTTCGATTGTTATTTTGAAGCTGCTAGGAATGCTAATTAATTTTCTTCAGGAGAGTTCAAAGAATAAGAATCGATAAATTATTTAACAATTTTTTGTTATTAACTATGTTTTAAAGGACACTAAAAATATCACAAATTTTTCTTAATTCTTAAAAATAATATTATTCAAAAAAATATTATTTATTAACGTTATAAACAAATTAAGATAACAAATGAACTGTTCATTTGTTTATAGTCGAAATGAAAAATATTATTGGTAACATAATTTTAAAACGATTAGAAAACAAACGATGTCATTTCGACTATAAAACAAATAAACTGTTCATTTGTTAACTTAATTTGTTTATAACATAAACAAATGATTATTTATGAAAAAAATCTATAAAAAATATTATTGGTAACATAATTTTAAGAGGATTAGACAAAAATACCATGGTATTTTAACTATAAACAAATGAACAGTTCAATTGTTAACTTAAATTGTTTATAACATAAACAAATTATAACTTTTGAAAAATATCTATGAAAAATATTATTATTAACATAATTTTAAAACGATTAGAAAAAAGATGCCATTTCGACTATAAACAAATAAACAGTTCATTTGTTAACTTAATTTGTTTATAACATAAACAAATTATTATGAAATTATAATTATTTATGAAAAAAATTTATAAAAAATATTATTGGTAACATAATTTTAAGAGGATTAGACAAAAATACCATGGTATTTTGACTTTAAACAAATGAACAGTTCAATTGTTAACTTAAATTGTTTATAACATAAACAAATTATAACTTTTGAAAAATATCTATGAAAAATATTATTATTAACATAATTTTAAAACGATTAGAAAAAAGATGCCATTTCGACTATAAACAAATAAACAGTTCATTTGTTAACTTAATTTGTTTATAACATAAACAAATTATTATGAAATTATAATTATTTATGAAAAAAATTTATAAAAAATATTATTGGTAACATAATTTTAAGAGGATTAGAAAAAAATACCATGGTATTTTGACTATAAACAAATGAACAGTTCAATTGTTAACTTAAATTGTTTATAACATAAACAAATTATAACTTTTGAAGAATATCTATGAAAAATATTATTTTTAACATAATTTTAAAACGATTAGAAAAAAAGATGCCATTTTGACTATAAACAAATGAAACAGTTCATTTGTTAACTTAATTTGTTTATAACAATAATAAATAATATTTTTTTAATAACATTTATGTACAGCTGTTAATAGTGACGTAATTCTAAAACCATTAGAAAAGAAACAAATTTTTTTCTACTATAAACAAACGAGCTATTCATTCGTTAATTTAATTTAAATTAAATGTTGTTTAAAATTATAAAAAAAAATTTTGTTGTTGTCGTAATATCGTTTTTTATCTTTCATATGTTAATACTCTCATAAGATTTAAGCAATATCGAGAAGAAACAAATATTTTTTCGAATGGGAAATTAAATTTTTAAATGACGACTAAAGTTACTTTTTTTAAACAATATTATAAACAAATGGAGGAAATTTTCAAAAATAGTTAATTTTACTTAAAACTTGTTACTCGCGGGTTTCTGGGGTCGCTGATGACGAATAAGACCTTCTTTTTGAAAATTCAAAATGGCGGATCCAATATGGCGGACTTATTTTTAAAAATCAATCAAATTCTCTTGAAACTTGTTACTCGGGGGTTTTTTGGTGTCGCTGATTACAAATATGACCTTAATTTACAAAAATTCAAAATAGCGGATCGAATATGGCTGATGAGAATTTCTAAAAACAATTGTATTGTCTTGATACTGGTCTTACTTTAATTAACCATTTTTTCAATGTGATTCTAAAAAAGACTGTTTGCAAAAATGTTCATGAGTTTTATATTTTGTCAAATGTTGTTAGAAAAGAACGTAAAAAGGTGTCAGCAAAAGATTTTGTGTTAGATATTGTCGGACATAATTTGAAAAAATGTGAAACTCATGATATAAAAAATCACAATGTAGAAACGTCGCAAAAGAGGAGAGCTAGTTCGCTAGTTTTTAACCATAGTCAAAATATATGAATTTCTAGGTTTTATTAAATTTTTAATATTTTTGTTCTTGCCCATGGTTTGCAAGATTTGGTCCATGGTCAACAATATAAAAATTTTGAAGGTTTAAATTTTTCCATTGCCCGAAGCAATGGTGTTTTAATTGTTGGGCAATGTTTCAAAGTATTTGTTTACTTTGACTAAAGTCTTTGGTACTTGATAATTAAATTTTCGTTTCTATTTATGTTACAGAAGCAGATGGTAAAATTTTATCTAACTGAAGCCCCTGATGCTTGAATTAGAAGAAACAATAATTGTAAATGCACTGGCAATATTGGTGGCATCCCGTCACCAGAAGTGTACGAGTTACTAAATCCACATTAGGAATGTCGCTGGCGTCTCGTGGGACGCGAAAAGCTCCCCTTCTCTTCATTTTAATAATAATTTTCCTCCTCGCACTCTATCAACTTGGCATTATATGCAGTGGACCGAAAGTTAGACCCAATGCTGTTATGGTAACCAAAGAGGTAAATAAACTTTTTTATAGTACCTATTAAAATAAAAATTTAGCACATATTGAAAAAAATAAAAGTAGGGGAGTGTGTCCAGTTGTGAGACTGTCGATTTTTTTATAAGTGTCTTACAACTGAACACATTTTTTTTGTTAACAAAAGCGATGTGCTCGGAAAATTGATCATAACTTTTTTTGAGTCCATCTGAACACTATACTTTCTTTGAATAAAAGTTGCCAATTTAAGTTACTTTTCGAACGGTATATTTTATTTACAATTTCGTTGACCCATTTACAATTTATGGGTCAAAAACAAAACCCGTCTCATATACCTAGACACACTCTCCTATACTTTAAATACAAATGAAAATTAATACCGCTGAAGAAAATACCTTACAATAAATAATTTCATTCAAATCTATTTCTTTAGAGAAAAATAAATCATGGAAAAAGTTTTCTGAATGACATTTGAATGTTTTATTTTAGCAAAAAAAAAATGAAATAAATTAACATCCTCAATATTTCCCACAGAACGGAATAAGATTAAAATGCTAAAAAGTTTTCTCAATTGAATGACGAATGGCAACTTCAGTTTAACCATCGTTCGTGCAACTTTACCGATACGTTTATTTGCCAGACTTTCCCTCCATTTTTCTTAGACTGCGCGCTTTCAATCTTTTCGTTTCTGTAATCCATTCGTTTTTCCTCAAAAAAAAAAAAAAAAAAATGTGCTGATGTTCAATTAAAGTGTCTTACCAAAAGCATACAAATTTTCAAAGGAACAAAATTTAAAAAAAAAATTGTTCCGAAAAATTTAGGAACAAGAGCTAGTCTTTTTGTTTTCTTTAGAAAAAAAACTATTCTCTAATTAGTTCATTTAGCTAGCGTATAGTAAAATTTAACGAGATTTCCTCGGAAATATTGAGTAAAATACGTTTTAATGAATAAAAAAAAATTGATACTCGTCAGATTGAAATTATTAATACTATTCTCTGATATCCAACCAAAAAGAAGAGAATATGTATTATTGGAATGTTTAATTATTAGGTAAATCTAATTGGGAATCATTTTCAACCGAATTTCATAACATTATTGTATTCAATTTGAATTTTCTAAAAAATATTATAACCGTAATATTTTTTCAATAATATACTAAGGTTACCTAAGAAAGATTGCTGGACCCGATAAAAAATAATAATGAAAGAGAATAAATTTTACAGATTTCTAATCATATTTAAAGGAAACTAAATCTGTCAATTAAAATCGCAAAAAGAGAAAATAAAAACAAAATTAAATTAAAATCTTTCTTTCTGAACAAATTATTCATAGCTCAATTTCTTTATTAGATAATGGCAGAGGGGGGATTTGATTTTAAATTTTTAAAGAAATAAAAAAAACATCATTTAAATAACAATATAAATTCAATATTTATTGACAAATTCGAATTTTTGTATTTTTTTAAATAACTTTTTTCTTTATTGAAATTTTAATTGATTCTTGTCAGAATTATATTCCTGTCACGAAAACGAACCGATTGATGTATTATAATGCATATATAATGTATATCGTTTTAACAATATTTATAAAATTAATCACTGTTTTTATTTTTAACAAAAAATTCAAATTTTGTATTTCTTGAAATCTTATCTTAACACTTCAACATAATTATTCTATAATAAAAAATTAAGCAATTGGCATATATAAAGTTTTAAGGAGGTTAGTTCAAAATCATGAATCATAGAGATTCGTTTGAAATTTGCAGCAAAATTAAATGACATATTAATGCATATTATTGTTAAATCTGAGCCAATTTGACCGTATAGTTTTCGAGATATTGACGGCCAAAGTTCACTATTTTTCTCAGTATTTAGCATTGAGCTAATGGCCGCAAAAAAAAAAAAATGAAAAAAAAATAACAACTTGGTTAATAACTTTTTTCACAGCGAAGAGATTCAACTCAAAATTAGAGCAAAATTAATTCAATGTTTAAGGAACATAATACTTCAAAGAGAACGAAATCGACCGTTTAGTTGCAGAGTATTATTTATCCAAAACTTAAAGTTACTTCTAATTTTTTTTTTGACGTGAGTGACGCGGAGTGCGTGGCAACATCGCAACTGTTGAGAGCGGTGGGAGAAGCGGAGTAGCGCAGTAATTCAAATAAAGCTGAGTACTGAAAAATACACTATTTCAAAAAGTGAAAAAAAAACAATTTATTAAATTGTCAAACTAAAGAAAAACTATTCTCCATGACGAAAGTCAACCAAAACTGACCAAAACAACACTAATTCGCATGCGCTCGCATCAGCTGTTCATGCCATGTTGCCAGATCTCTAACTGCAAAGCACTACGTTCTTCAAAATATTACTGTTTTTTCTTAAACTTTTAATTATTTACAGATTTTTACATAATAATGTACACAACATTATTTTAAAAAATGATCTTTTAATTTACATATTAAAATTTATTTCATATTTGAACATTTAAAAAAAAAAATTGTTATCTTGACTACCGTCGTGAACCTATCCTCCTTAATTTCACCAATGATTTAAAAACAGTTTAAAAATTAATTCAATTTTAAAAGAGTTGCGTTTACAATTTTCATAAATAGATCAACTTCAAAAGGTTTTAATTTTAAATTTTGTAAAATTTCAATTTTTAATGAATTAATTAAATAATAAAAAAATTCACAGGAATTCTATTATTTACAAATTCTTTATAAAATTTCTTTGCAATAATTCAATTATTTTCATAAATAATCAAATTTTTTACCAAGATTCAACTATTTTCATAAATAATAAAACTGATCGCAGAATTTCAATTATTTTTAATACAATTTTAATGGAATTTCTCGAAAAATTAAATTATTCGTAAAAATTTTATTAAAATTCATCAGAATTTAAATATTCTTGGCAATACATTTTTCATTAAATTTCTTGAAAGAATTAAATTATTTTCAAAAAATTTAATTAAATTCTTTTGAGCAATTCAATTTTTTTTTCAAAATAATTTTAATGAAATTCTTCCTATAGAAATTTAATTAATTTCAATAATTTATCAAAATTCAATTATTTTTAGTATCTATTTTTTCAATATAATTTCACAAAAGAATTCAATTATTTAAAAATAAATATTATTAAAATTCGTCTCAATAATTCAATTATTTTCAAATGTAATAAAATTCTTGGCAAAAATTCAATTATGGTCAAAAGTTTTAAAAAATTCTCTTCAAAATTTTAATTATCTTTATAAATAATAAAATTTTTCTCCAAAATTCAATTAATTTCAAAAAATTCTTGACAAAATTTCAAAATTTTTAAATTTTCAAATTTTTTTTTTTTTTCAAATTTTTCAAAATTTCATTTCAAATTTATTCTTATTAATTATTTAGTTGGTAAAATTCTTTAAATGAGAGTTGGTTGAATTTTAAAAAACATTGAATTCTTTAATAAATTATTTATTTTTGTATTTAAATAATTTAATTCTCGTAGAATTTTCTAATAGAAATTGATTTGAAAATGAATTTCAGTTAAAATTTTACATAAAATTATTTTACAAAATTTTAATTATTTCCAAAAACTTTTCTCTATTCAATCAAATTTCTTACAGAGTCAATTATTTTTAATACAATTTTAATCTGATTTCTCGAAAAATAAAATTATTTTTAAAAATTTTATTGAAATTCGTCAAAAGAATTTTAATTACTTATTTCAAAATTTGTTGATAACATTCTTTAAATGAGAGTTCAATTTTAAAAAACATTGCATTCTTTAATAAATTATTTATTTTTGTATTTAAATAATTGAATTCTCGTAAAATTTTCTAATAGAAATTGATTTGAAAATGAATTTCAGTTAAAATTTTACATAATAATTGAATATTAAACTCTCTAAATTTGAATTATTAAAAATCTTTTCTAATTTGAATTAGTGACTATGGCTTTTTGCTTTTGAATTAGCAGATTTTACTAATAAATAGTCGTTTCTATTAATTTAATAGTAAAATTAACTATTTCAAAAATAAAAAATCAGTCATTAATTCCAATTAGTGAATATTTTTACTAATTCAATAATTGAATTTTGAAAAGGTTTCAAATCATAGTCTTTAAGTTTGAATATTTAATACTTAACTAAAAATTGTGTAGATTTAATTTTTTTGAAAAAGTTTAATTGAATTTTTTTTAAGTTATTTGAAGTTTTTATTTTCTAATATATATTTTTGGAATCGAATTTCCGAATAATCGATTAAATTTCTCAAAATTGAATTGTAAACAAAAGGATTTGAAAATTTTCAAAGAAATTTTTCAAAAATTATTAAAAATAATTAATTTAAACTTTATAAAGAAGAATTTTAGTTAAAAATTCTGGAAAACAGTAATTAAATTAAAGTGATGAAAGTAATTTTGAATAATTAATGGAAATTTATGAGATTTATTTATTTGTGAGATTGATTCGGAAAATTGTTAACTTCTTTCACCTTTAATTTTGAATAAGTTACAGTAACAATATTTTTATAATATAAAATAATGATTTTATCAGTCCGTCATTTTTATTTATTATAAAACATGAAGATATCGATTGCTCCGAGTCGAAGACTCGGAGTGTTCGATTTCTTCAAGTTTTATAACAATTTTTTATAAGTTGTTTAGTTTCAAAAAGATTTGAATTTAAAATTTTTGAAAATCCTTATTCTTATGGAAAAATTATAGGTAATGACTAAATATTTATTTTAAAAAAAATAAATATAACAATAAAATTGATTGGAATTATTTAATTTAAAGAAAAGAAAATTTTTTTATATTTAAATGTAGTTTTAAAAACATGGAAAAATTCTGTTTTTTAACCTGAAAAACCTGGAACGTTGCTTAAAGTTTGCCGAGCAATATTCAAACTTTCTTTACAAACAAGTTAAGTTTGGAAATCTGCAATTACTGTTTTATTCCTAAGAGAATTATCGATGGCTGAGAACTAAAAGTTACTCTTTTTATGAAGAATGGCGCCTTGTTTCTATATATAT